CTCTAAGGTTAAGATATTCTACTTATTTTCCTTCTGTGCACATTTTACCACCTAACTATTGTGATGTGCTTACTGTCTGACTTTTTACCAGAATGAGATCCATGCAGTCAGAAACATGGTTTTTTGTGTTTATAATTATTTTTACTGCTGTATCCCCAGTACCATGAACAGTGCCTGGTATATAAAAAGTATGAAATAATTGTTTATGGGACAGAAGAACAAACAAAAAATGCTGCATTTGGGCGACTAAGTAATTCTGCCTTGCTAACAGATGAGACACAGGGGAAAGGCAGAATAAATAACTGAGAAGGTCCGAGTGGTAGATTTGAAGCCCCAGAAATCTTAAAGCAGTTGCATGGCTAAGGCTATAATGTTGGAGGAACATTTAGAATTCCCTCTCCCCCTCTTTTCCCATCCTTCAGAGCCTCACCTGCACATCCTCCTGATGAAGATCTTTTAACACATCACCTGTTCGCTGAAGCCTTTCACACGTCCCCCTACAGAAATGCACCATGCTGAATTGTGAGATACTTCCATCACTGTGCCCATGATATTTACTTATATATCTGCCATCCTCTACAGGGCTCTGAGCTCTAGGCTCTGTGAGCAGAAGCCGTGTTAACTTCTTTTTTTTGTCCTGGGTATGGCAATACAGTGATGGGGCAATGTCAAAACCTTATAAATGTTCAGTAAATAAATGAAGGGAATAATTTTACTGTATTCTGTACAGGCCAAACTATAGGAGACCGCCTTCAGATCAGCTCACTATTCCCATTGTAGGAATGATATCTTTTATGCTAGATGTTGCAAATGCAAATGTTGCAAAGATCAGAGAACTATAGCTAAAAGGGGAGAGATCAGGCCCTATTTTTATATAAAATCTCTTAAGTGTAGCAAAAAATTCAAATGAAAAGAAAAAAATTGTTTAAATATTACTATATAATCTCCAAAACACACACTGTTAACCCCTCGAGTAGACTGGGAGGCAAATTTGCAACCTACTTTAGACAAAGGGATTTAAACATGAAACTAACAATCAGAACTGTGCTTCTGAAAGACGGTTCGGATAGGATGAGCCAGGGTGTTATATTGTAACAGTCAAGGCAAGAAATGAAAAAAAGCACTGGGGGTGGATCTGAAAGATGATCTGGTCTATCCAGATCTCATAGCAAAGCCCAAGATTTCATGAGCTAATCTGGCGGCGGCCACATTACCAGTTTTGTAGGTTCATACTGATTTTCCTGAATACTGTTAAATCTAATTAATTTTAATAATCTAAATATAGGGCTTAATTTATATTTGTTTTGCAGGCAGTATGTTGCAAGGATTGAAGAGCATTACAGACTCTGGAGTCAGACAGCCTCAACTCAACCCTTGACTTTAGTCCTTAACTGGGTGACCTTGTGTAAGTCACGTGACTTCTGTTTCCATTCCTATTTTATAGGGTTATGGTAAGCACCAACAAGTGCTTAGATGAGTGTGCCTGGTCCATATTAAATTCCATTAAGTCTTAGCTTAAATTATTATTTATTATCTTCTATACCTCAACTTATTTCAATCCATTACCTAAACATTCTGTACACTATGTAGCTTACGTTATTTAAAGTTCCGTAAGTTTGTCTTTTCTCTATATTGATCTAAGTTGACAATGAAATTCTAAACAAAATATAACCAAGAATAAGCCTCTAGAATGTTATAAAAACAGCTTTCCTAGATAAAGACCTATGTTAAGCTGAGATCTAAAACAAGTGAGAAATCCAGTGAGGGAAATACCAGGGAGAACAGCATTCCACGCAGAGGGAGTCGCAGAGGCAAAGTCCCTGCGGTATTAGTGCTACTTGTCATATCGCAAAGACCCACAGAGAGGCCAGCGTGGCTGAAGGGGACCAGCAGGGGAAGGGAAGTGGGAGGTAAGAGAAAGAAGTAAGGGGCCCCAATCTGGCAGGGCCCGACAGCCAGGTATCCCCAAACCTTCATGTAGTTCAATGTAGTACAACACTTCGTGTTGGGATCATACGATAAGACATGAAATATTTAGTTTTATCATTTAAGATACTTTAATTTTGTACAATATATCTGATCCTCCAGCCTAAGAAATCTTGCAAAGAGGACATGCCCTGATCCATAGATAGATACATAGACAGGCAGATACGGATACAGATAGACTAATTCTCTCTGGCTAGTAAAGGGTAATTTTGTTTTGCTTATCTCTATTTCTCAGTATCTATATAATAAATTTGTACTAATTTTATAGTTCAAATAAAATCTAGGCAAAGCTTAAAGAAAAAAAAAAGAATTATCACCAGTTAGCATAACATAGTAAATGTAAGCTGCCTTCTACGAACCACTGTGTTCTCGAATCTTTTCCTCAATAAATTTTAAAATTTTACCAGGGATCACTGGCAAGTTTCCAAGGACACCCTCAAACACCTACACAACCCAGAGGTGTAACTCAGATAAATCCACATCTTTATCAGGAGAATCTAATTTGACTCTGCCTTCAAATAGTGTCTTAAGCCCATCACCTTCTAGCTACTTACCACCAGTGAGTGCCCCAATCCAAGAAGCCACCCCAACAAACACGCATGCGTCCACACACACACACACACACACACACACACACACACACACAATGACGACTGCAAAACCTTCCTCACTGATCTTCCTGTTCCCACCACAGCCCTCCCTCCTCACTTTCCAGAGTCTATATTCCCATGGCAACCAGAGTAAGCCTTCAAAAACCTACGTCAGATCATGTCATTCCTCTGCTCTAAACTAACTCTACACGGGCTCCCACAGGACTTAGAATATGTTTCCCTGGGTTCCCGTTACTTCTTTCTGTTATCTCCCTCTGCTCTTTCCTTACTGTTCTACTCCAGCCATGCTGCCTCCCTGTATGTCTTTAAAAACACACCTCAGGGATTTTACCTCTGCCACCCCCTCTGCTAGAGATGTTGTTCTCCCAGAAACTTTTCCCTGGCTGCGTTTCTCACTAGCTTTAGCTCTTAGCTTAAAATATTACCTCATCAGAGGGTTTCCCTGGTCACCTTACATAAAGCAGCAATTCCTTAGCTCCCCCCACTATACCCTATCAACTTTACTCTGCTTTTTTCTGCTTAGTAGTACCTGTCACCTGAATGTCATTTACCTGTTTCTCTATTTATATCTAGTTATTCATTTATTTTCATATGTTTCTACCCATTACAGTATAATTCTTATAGGCAAGGATTTTTTTCTATTTTGTTTAATGCTATATACTGAGCATTAAGAATTGTGCTAGAGCCAGGTGTGGTGGCACACACCTGTGACCCCAGCACCCAGGAGGATCACTGTGAGTTCGAGACCAGCTTGGGCTACATAAATAAGCGAGTTCAAGGCTAGCCTGAACTACATAGCAAGACCCTGTCTCAAAAACACATTGTGTTAGGCATGTAGATAGTGGTCAGGTTTTTTCATCAGAATACAGCCCCATGTATAGATTTTACATATATAAATAGGTATGTATCAATTTTTTTATAAAAATGGTTATTCCCCCCCAATTTCATCAAGTATACTAAAATGTACTGAGTTACAATAAAAAAGAGACCAAATACTAGCTGCCATCCATCCAACCAGAATCATTTTCATAAGCTGAGATTAAAAAAAAAAATGCTCTAGGAAGAGGAGAACAAGAATCCTCAACAAATTTGCCTTGAAGTTCCCCAGTCTCTCAAGAAGAGTTCTCTATTATTCCTAACTATCCCTGTTTCCTAAAAGGGGATGACATGAGAGTGAAAGATCTTTTTAAAATTCCTTTTCTAAGTCAGGCATGGCGGCGGCATGCCTGCGATCTCAGCTGAGGCAGGACAATGGCAAGTTCGAGAGTGGCCAAGGCAGTTTAGCTAGCTTCTGTCTCAAATTAAAAAACAAAAAAAGAGTCCTTTCCTATGTCCAGTCATTCCTATAAACAGTACCCACTTCCCAGACTCATTACTGCTCTTTCTAGTGCTCTATTTCCCCATAGAATGTTTCCCTAACTATGACCCAACTGCCAATGGCAACCAAGACCAGTGGCCACTCACTGCTTGAGCTCTCACCTCTCACACCTGTTTTGTTGGTGGTTTCCATTGCCTTCATCAATACCAGCAAATAAAGTACTAGCACACAGGGCACAGTGGCACATGCCTATAACCTCAGCACTCTGGGAGGCTGAGGCAGGAGGACTACAAATTCAAGTCCAGTTTGGGAAACTTTGTGAGACCCTGTCTCAAATTTTAAAAGCAACTTTAAAGAGCTGAGGATATAGCCCAGTGCAAAGACCCTGGGTTTAATCCCCAATACCAGCCCCCTCCCAAGAAAAAGAAGAATTGGCATGCCAAACCCTGAAAAGGCTAGGAAAAGTACTTCCTGATCAAAATCGTTAATCTGTTTGTTTTGCTGTGGTTTTTTTTTTTTTTTTTAAGTTAGTCATTATCTCAATTTTAAAAGTTTTTTAAATGGGAAACATTATAGTGTAATGAGAAGAAGGCAGGTTTAAAACGTAGTTGTATTGGGGGCTGGAGATATATCTCAGCGGCGCAGCACCTGCCTGGCAAGCGCGAGGTCGTGAGTTCAATTCCTGGTACTGGAACAAAACAAAACAAAAAACCTAGTTGTATCATGCACTACCTGTGTGAACTCCTGGAGAAGTTATATAAGCACGCTAAGCTCATGTCCTTGTGGTGATGGTAACAGCAGTGACTTCAGGGAGTGGAATAAATATTTAGGAAGATAGTGTCAAACAGGGCTGTGCCTGACATACAGTAAATATTCAATAAATGGTAGTTATGGGCCTGCTTCTTAAGGTCATTGATTTCATGCAAGTATTTTAACCCGCATCAGGTTGGAGGATGAATGGAGAACCCAGTTCACAACAGGCCATCAGCAAAAACTGACCATCCTCCCTGCCTTTGCCATGCTGGAAAACTGTAGGCTTCAAAAACCATCCAATGTGATTAGTATGCACAATATAACATATTTACCATTTAGGTAATTTAAATTCCCTGGCAATACTTCTGGCTGCGCCTCCAATGTTTGCTGTCTTGGAAACAGTCACTATCTCTCAATGGCAGTTGCCTCTTGACCTGCATAGCATATAAAAAGAAAAGAAGACATAGGTAAAGCATGAATCATAGCCTGAGTCAAGCTGACCCAAAGGGCTTCACATACAGTGCAGCGTTGGAAAAGACAAAAAGTAATAGTGGAATCGACATCCTGACACTGAAGGGAGCTAGCTGTAACTCTCAGGAGAGAGCAGGAGTTTGGTTCCAAGGGACTTTCCTTTTCCTAACATATAGTTATCTTCCCTTAAATGAGCAGACCTATATATTCTCTAGTAGTCTATATAGGTATAGGAAAGCCAAGAAGCATCTCAGAAATCAACTAGCTGAATGAATGCCCTTGTTATAAGGAAGGAAACTGAACCTTGGAAAGAGTGAGTCACAGAACTACTTGGAGGTAATGCCAGGATTCTACCACAAATAAGACGTTCTGGAAGACAGATGAAAAAAAGAACAAACATCAGTAGATTATCTACCATGCTCTGGGCACTATGTTTTATGTGAGACAGTAATATGATGATGTTATCCTTATTTCATAGATTAAAGAATCTAAATTGCAAGAAGACAAGTGACTTGTCCAAGGTCTTCCAGCTTGCTGAATAAACAGTCAGGATTTAAACCCAAGTCATTTCACTGCCTTCTTGACTCAGTCCTCAAAAGGGCCTGACCTACTCAATGTTAGAACTGAAAACAGCTTCTCTGTCAGCAGAAGTGCCCTCCAGTTTTATAATGAGCAGCCTCCTACAGCAGAGCTGGAAAGCCGGCCTGTCTACTGACTCTTACCACTGCTAACTTCACAGAAGACTTAGCAGAGCTGGAAGATCTGGGTCAAATCTTCCCATCTATCCTGATGTTGAGGAACAATGCAAGGTGGTTTCTTCTAATTAGTGGTAACCTAAAGCTTTTGCACATGGTCTCACATCCAAATATCCCCTTTTTATCATGACTGCCTCGCACCCACGTACACATCCCTGCAGATCACCTTCTGCTGCCTCCAAGACTGCTGGCCCCATTACCTGATTCTCACACCCCTTAAACACACATGCACACAACAGATCAATCCATCCCTGCCTCCACCCTCCTAGAAAACTGGAAGGATAGAAGATGGAGAAATAATAATAAGATGCTTTTCAAAGTATTTAAAAGATAAGGGCAAAAGGAGTCACTGAAACCTCAAACCAATTGAGACCTGAAGAGAAAATAATTATTAATAAGCAATGAAAATAGCCAGAAAAGATGCATAAAAAAGTGTATACCAAGGGCAGCACCCAATGGATGGCTTGGTTAAGAAAAAAGCTTTAGCTCTCTCTGCCACCCTTAAGAACTCCTTTGTGGCAAAGTAAATGTGACTGCTATTCAAACAGCTTCGGGACAGACCCACAGACCTTTTGTCCTACCCCTACTGCCATCTATCTCTTTCCCCTCCTTATCCACCACCTTAAACACACACACACCTTCCTCTGCATAGCCCAGGAATTCTACATAGAAATTCTCAACTCTAAAACAGCTAGAGAAATTTGGGTCATGGTAATCTAATACCCCTGATGCCTTAGGCATGTAGTAAATTTTGTGCATTCGCCTTCCTTTAAAAAAAAAAAAAAATTGGTTTCTCCACTGCAGTCTTTATAGCTCTAACAATGACCACCACCCTGATTTTTAAAAAAAGAAAAGGGAAAAAAGCCTACTGCTCCAGCACCCACCACCCACTGCCAAATCTGTTGACAAGTTACTAAGGCGGGGTGGGGGGGGGGTGTTTCTCTTCAAAACAGAATGGAATGCACTGCCAGAAGTCAAGTAAACAGGAACTCCAGATGATCCTGGTTTGTTTTCAACAGTCTACATTCTCTCCTTATTTCTAAGAAGTAAAAGCAAGCAGTATGTGATCTCTTTCTTTGCTTCTGAATATCATTTACTTCTTCCATCCTCAGTGTGACAGGTGTAAATTTCATCAAACTCTTTAGCACTACTCCTTTACAGAACCATCTAGCCCACAGATCCATCCATATCACTTCCTTTTTTATCTCCTTCTGGGGCTACATGTTGCTACTGCCCGTGGTGACAGTGGTGGCACGCCTGTATGTATGTGTCTATCTGTTGAAAAGCACAGATGAAAGAATTCTTACAGATCATGCAGAGTCCATGGAAGTCCATGCAGAGTGCATTTTCCTAAGACCCACGTAAGTCCCAGAAAAGAGAAGAGACTTGCCTCAGATTACAAACAAATTAAAGTAAAAATGGGTAAGTCCTTTTGCTTCCAAAATACTTCTATATACAATGAATAAAAGAACTACCAGGGAATTCTGCTTCCATTACAATCCTCCCAGAGATAACCATAAACTAACTGGATAAAATACAAAATACAACTATCAAAAGTGAATAAAAGCTGGCAGATTTTTGGACAGCAGTTGAAAATTGGAAGAAAGGACTAGTAGGGGATAATTCTCCATTTTCGGAGCTCTGGCCTGAGTGTAATCCAGCTTTATTTCCAACTTAAAAACCCTTGACTTTCTGTCATGAGGAACCAGAAGGCAGAGCCTAAAACAGCCACAGACAGTACAAAGTAGGAAAGAAAAAACCAGAGAAGGAGAGAGTCCCAGGTCCCAAAAACTCTGCCCAAGTCTCTTGGTGAACCTTGAAATATGCATGCTCAAGGCAAAATCCAAAAACCTCAGCTAAAAGACAATTTGAACTGACACCTACTATACGTGTGACAGAGTTTGAAGTCTTTATTCTAAGTGCCTTCTAAAATGAAAACATCAATAGAACCTAGAGTCTCTACAATATAACATTCACGATGAGCAGGATAAAGTCATCCCAAATTACCAGAAAAATTAAATCCATTCTCAAAGGCAAAGACATCAGCAGAGGGTAACCCCAAGACAACGGTGTCAGAATTATCAGACAAAGATAGTAAACACATGCCAGGTGTGGTGGCCCCTGCCTGTAATCCCAGCACTCAGGAGAATCATTGCAAGTTCAAGACCAGCCGAGGCTACAAAGCGTGCTCAAGGCCGGCCTGAACTGCATAGTGAGACCCTGTCTCAAAAAAAAAAAAAAAAAAAAGTTTGTAAACACAGCTATTAGGACTAAGCTCAATGAAGTAAAAGAAAATATGCTCCAAGTGAAAGGAAAAAACAGTCAATCTCAGACATGTCCTCTTGATTCAAACTATCTCAATATTATATAATTTTTCAAATTTTTAAAGACACAATTAATTTTAACGGCATAGTAATGCATGACTGTAATCTCAGCACATCCACAAATTCTAGGCAAACTTAGGTCACATAGCAAGTTCAAGGCCAGCCTGAGCTACACAGTACTACCCTGTCTCAGAGTATTTTACACATCATCATATAGAGATTTCGGTATGTGTCCTAATGTAGGGGTGCTAAAATAGTATCTTTCATATAAAAGTGTATTTAATTCTCTCAGGATAACTTTTTATCCATATGAACTTTGGAGATAAGAAGGTAGATATGCTTAACCCTGATATGACAACTACGCAAACAGATTAAGACACTTGTGACCCTTTTTGAAAACTAGTAACAGACACAGGACTAGAATCTAGCTAGCTCACCTCTGTACATCAGGTTCTTTTTCACCTTACCAAAGAACCGAGAATATACACAGGATTAGAACTAGAAAGAAAGGATTTAAGAACTTTCGTGCACCTTGGGGGAGCATTTATTAATAAGCAACTGACAGTAGTAACAAGATGAGTATATCTACGTATGTGTTTGAAAACTGGTATTCAAAGAACCAGCACCTAACCCTGCCATTTCTTCCTCTAACAAATTGAGAGTAGGTTTCTTTGCAACAAGTCGATGTTTGTGAGGCTCAGTAATAGAAACACAAGTCTAAAATTGTTACTTAAACTAGTTGAATCAAAAAAACATGCTGATCCCTTTAACTTCTGGAGTCTATAATCAGAATTATCAAGTGGCAGTTAGTACAGCATGTACAGCAAATGTAGTTACACAGCAAGTCACAACTACCACACTGACAAAAGAATTTTCATTAGCTATTAATTTTCATAGTAATGCAAATCAGATAAACTCAATCGTGTTGATCTTACAAAGAAGAAGAAAACAAAGTCTCAAAATCACATTGCTGATCAGTGGTAAAATGGATTCTCCCCCAGTATTTCTGGTTTAAATTTTGCTTTCTTCTCCCTAGTATACCACCCCTTCTAGGGTTCTCTCTCAAAGCTCGCCTCAGGAAAACCTGTTCTACAGCTCAAACATTACAAACCTACATGTAATTTGACTAGTTCTGTCATTCATTCATTTATTCATACAAATATTGACTACCTATAAAGCACCAAGCTCTAAGGTCAGCACTGGGGATAAAGTAATGAGTGAAAACAGATTTCATCCTCCTAACATTTATAGCATACCGCAAGAGAAAAACAGAATAAGTATAATTTATGTGAAATACAATTTGATAGAAATTAACTCACTCAGGAAGGCCCCTAATGAGAATATTCTAGGTACAAGAGCAAGCATGATGAGTGTGAGAAGCCAAAAACAGAGTTGAGTGGTCAAAGACCTGAGCGCAAGGAGAGATAGGAACTAAGAGAAAGCTAGAGAGGAAGTGAAAGCCAGGCCGTGCCTTTGGAGGACACGTTGTGGACCTGGGTCTTTATCCAAAGAGCTATAGGAAGTCATTTAAGTATTAAATAGAAGTCAGACATACACATTCCAAAAAGAACACTTTGGCTTCAGTACAACAGATAAAAGCAGGTAGAAAGATGCCAAGGGATGAGTTAGGAGGCTATTTCTACAGCCCAGGAGGGATGATGGTAACACCCACAAAAACAGGCACACACGGGGCACTTACCACATACTAGGCACCATTTATTCCAAGTGCTCTATATAAATTAACTCCTTACAACTGTGTTTAACGCTATTATCTTTACCTTATGGAAGAAGGGCCAGGTTAAGTATGTAACCGAATTACTCTTTTCCTTTCATACTTCATCATCATTCCCTTGCAAATAAATGCATTTAACGTACTTGCCCTCC